CAGTCCTCTGTTTCCAACTTTTCCATTCCAGTCACCAATTGTTGTTAGCCCATCTTGATTGCATTTTTCAATCAATTGCAATCTACAATATTAGGAGATAACCTCAATTTTGTCATCATTAGCCTTAGTGGTTGTTTCATATCTGTGAATAATGGTAATATAAACAGGATTGCCTGTATGTAAATGGATAGAATCTTATTTCTCACATCATTGTATTTCAGGATATTTTGATGATGAATGACACTCATTGCTCTTCAATTTGTCATTTCTGGCATAGTAGAGCATGTGATTATCTTATTAAAATGGCAAGAACCAGTCTATCTCAGCTCACTAATGCTTAGAATGTCATCTTTACACTTTTCATTTTATTTTTCACAACTCCTGATATTCCTAGATTTATATTTTGTATATTCCACATCCCAATTATTAATGGATATTTGCAGTTGTTTGTCCTCATTTTGAGTCTTGCTACATCAGCAAATGAAGGTCCTTCAGTGTATGAAACCTTTACTCCCTCAGCACCAGTAAGGTAGACTTTACTTAGAGGAGGCAGCTCTTCCTCAGTTGCATCTTTAGTGTCTTCCAACCTGAGAGGCTCATCTTCTGTCACTATATCCAACAATGTTCTTCTGTATTCCATATAGTTTTCAAAGACTTGTTATTTCAGAAGTAGATGGTTATTCCTGCTTCTCATTCTGTTTTAGTGTAGAAACTCTGCTGAAACCTATCCACCCCAAGTGAACCTGCTGGTATTTGAAATATTGGTAGTATAGCTTCCAGCATCACAGCAACACATAAGCCACTATAATAAGGCAAACTAACAGATAATTATAGATCCATTATTGTTTCAATTCCAAAAAAAATTATACAACAGACTGAGAAAATTACTGAATAATATAACTAATGTTGTTGTGTTGTTATGTGCCGTCGAGTTCAGGCGACTCATAGCGACCCTATGAAGGAGAGTCCTCGATGCTTTCATCCTCTCTCCAGATTCATAGGGTTTCTGGAGGGAAGCTATTTTGGAAGCGGATTTCACTATAACTAATAGTCAAATAAAATCTTGCTAAAGAGTATTTTTAAAATGACAAAGAATACATGGACATGGAAATGCTAGATATTCAAGTGGAATTCATTCAAAATGGCACAAGGGCTATCATAGCTGGTGCTAGGTGGCTCTTGGCTAAAAGTGAAGACTATAAGAAAGATGTTTGCTTTTGATGTATTTATTATGCAAAGACAATTGATTGTGCTGGTCATAACAAATTATGACAAATATTGAGAAGAAAACTTTTTAAAGCTCTTGCTGCAAAAGAGTAAAAACTACAACCTCAATATAAATTACATCTCAACATCATTATACCAAAACTCCCTACCACTGGATCATTAGGCAACATAATAATATATGGAAAATATTGAAATTGTCAACAATTTCATGAATCCAAAATTATAACCCAAGATAGCAGCAGTCAAGAAATGGAAAGATGTGTTACACTGGGAAAACCTGCTACCAAGGACTTCTTAAAATTCCCAAGGTGGAAGGACATCAGTGTAAAAACTAAGTTACATCTGATTCAAGCCATGGTCTTTCCAATTGCTTCTTATGCATCTGAAAGTTGGACAATAAATAAGGATGACAGAAGAAGAATCAAAACATTTGAATTATGTTGGTGAAGAATATTTAATATCCATCCCATGGACTGCCAATAAAACCCAATTATGCCTAAAAGGAAGTGCAACTAGGGTGTTTCCTAGGGCCAAGGATAGTGAAACTTTTTCTCACCTACTTTGAGTATATTTTGAGAAGTATCACCTTTGGAGAGAGACATCATGCTTGAAAGGGTAGAGGGTCAATAAAAGAGAGGAAGTGTTAGATTAAACGTTGGCTTTTACAGCCATTAGTCTCTTCTGATCTCCAACTACCTTAACCACAAACACATGATCTGGCAAATCATCAACAGCCGTGGAATTAGGATAAGAGAGAGTGTTTTCTACAATGAGCAGCAAGACTTGAGGGAAATTGGAGCCTGATTAGAGTGAGACCGTAGTTAAGCTGAGACCTTGGTAAGGGTGAGATCCTGGTGGGAGACCCTGGTGCTGGTGGTATTGATTGTGGCACTGCTGTGGAGAAATTGTGACAAGTATAATCAGAGGAGCTCTGAGGTAAAGATTACAGTTAAATGTTTTGCTGTTCTTGCTAGATGCTTGAAAGTGAAGCTGATTTATGACTGCTCTAAGGCAAACCTTGCTTGATGATGTGGATTTGACTATTGAACTGAAACTAGGACTTTTACTAATTAAAGAATTACATTTTGCTGTTAATCTGGTTTGGGACTGCTAGATTAAACCTGCAGTTTTGAGATATTCTTTGCCTCTCCCACTCATCAGTTTATTTTCCTCATAAAACCCACTCTTGGTATCAAAATGGATTAAAATCTGTGAATCAACAATGAATATCAAATCCAGTGATTGGTGGAAATAGTGCAGGAGCATAGAGGGTGGCATGTATGACCTAGCAGCTGTTTCTATGGATGTGATTAATGGAGAGAGTTCTCCTTTGTGATGGGAGCAGAAGTCAGACTCAGCCATCCTCACATTGTACTTGCTCCTTTCACAACCCTTTAAGAGATGGAATGATGCAGTTTCTACCACAATAGGTTTGAATATAAAAGAGATCATGAGGATGGTGCAGAATAGGGCAAAGTTTATATCTGTTGTTTATAGGTTCACTATGAGTTGTAATCAATTTGATGGCACCTAACAACAATAACAATACTTAGCTTATTAAGATCCTAATTAATATTTAGAAGCACATTTGTTTTATATAAATTATTTTGGTTCACAGGGTGTTTTTTAAAGGTTGCTTGTTTCTAAGAAATTTGTATGATTGCTGTATCTTTTGAAGTTGCTGAGTAAAATTAAAGCTGTGGAAAGTTTGGTGATTGTGTCATAAACTATATAAGTCAGTTCTGCTTTCCAATCTCTACTGACCTTGGCCTTTTCCTGTGGATAGACATCTATAAATGATCATTTGCATATCTAGGCCTTCCTGCAGCCAAATGTTGTCCATCACTTGAATAATTTGCAGAACAAGCATATCTTGGCGAAGATCATCTCCTGTCTGTTAAAAGCAAAATTATAGACTCTGAGTTTCTCCTTGAATTCCATCAAACCAAATAGTACATGCCATTTATTTCCTTGGAAAATCTACGGCCTGACTAATATGTTCTAAAAACAAACCCACTGCCATTGAATTGTTCCTGACTCTTTTGACCTTCTATCAGAGTTTCAAGGATATAAATCTTTACTAGGGATCTCTGACAGGCTAGTGATGAGGCTTAGTGCTGTCAACCAAAAGGCATGTGGATCGAATCTGCTAACTGCTCTGTGGGAGAAGGATGAACAATGTCCTCCCATTCAAGTTACAAGTTACCTGCAGGAGAGTTGAATCAGTTCCTTCTCAATAAAAACAATAGCAAATCTTTATTGGAAAAGGTTGTCTATCTTTCCACCATGCACCACATGGTATGTTTGAACAACCAACTTTTTGGTTAACAGCTCAACACAAACATACTATACCATTAGGGTTCCTGTAGCCTAAGGGTGATTTCAATTGTTTTATTAGTACTAAGATTACTTTGTGTATCTCACGGAACATAAAGTAAAATGAGATTTTTCCCTTTAAATAATTACATAAGCTTTCTCCATCAACTTAAAAGTACTGTAAATTAAAATTACTTCATCGAATGTTGTTTTCTGATAACAATTTTTCAATTTATTATCCATATGCAATTTCTTTGAGTGAGTGTTTTGGAGAGGGTGGACGAATATTTACCCAGATTTCAAATTCAGTCAAGACAGATCTCTTTCTAAGTGGAACATTACTTGGTATGCCGTAAGCTCATGCACTGATAATGCAGTAAGAATACCAAGAACCGTTTAACAGGGAATATAAATAGCACATATATGATTCATCAGGCTTCGAATCAGAGAGTTCTCCTATTATTAAGGCAGCTAAAAAGTTTTCTGAGAGAACAGCTTTTTAACAGTAATAAAAAAAATGATAAAAGGGTTTATTTTTTAGCAAACATGAAGGAAATGCACTAAGTCCAAAGGGAACAGATAGTTTTACCCTTTTATATTACTAAACAGCTTGGTTTGAAAATGCTTTCCAGGTTATAAGCACAAACTTGTGCCAAGGGTGACTGTTCACCCAAAATGCAAAGTCATGGGATCACTAATGCTTGAGGTTACACAGGCCAAGGCAAAAATTGGAGTGTGCTAATCATTATCTCCCAAAATAGACAGAATGGGGGAAAAAATCCACTCTAAGCTCTTACTGCATAGTTGGCTGAATAACTGATTAAATTACAGGGGTGTTTGGCAAAACCTAACAGCTCTATCTTTAGTTTCTTTCCTATCTTTCATATAACCTCATTTCAATCTTTTACTCTATTTCCCATGATTTACATGATAAAGAATGAAATGACTCATATTTACTAATTATTTTTTAACCTGAAAATTACTAAAATTTAAAAATACTGTCTAGATAAGACTTTTTACATTATGTCATTTCAGTTCACAGTTAGTTTTTATTATAATTCAGTATCTGGATTAAAATAAAATTACAACCTAGGAACTCCACATTCATTTCTCTTTTGATGTGTTGGGTTTTTTATTATGCCACTCAAATATAATGTCGTTTATTAAAACATAGCCTCATAAATTTCACCCTGAAAGTTCATTGGCCAGTAAGTTTGATTTGTTGCCAATCATAATTTAACATATCCTGTAATTCTGTGAAAATACAGAATCTAAGATCATTGTAAAACCTTTGTGTTGCCAAAGGAAAATAGCTACAATAATTTATTTTTGTGAGTAATAAATCAGTTGTGCTGTCTATGGAGTTGATAGTTCTAGGGGGACTAGCATACCTTAAAAATAACGCTGATTTTTTTGCCCATTGGATTAGCATTGATGAAAGTAATCTTCAATGGCAATGCATTCGATGTGAAATATGAACAAGCCTATAGGAAGAGAAGAATAGTGAGTAAAGTAAAGCACAATGATTATTTTCTCTGAAATCATGATCTGTTGCAAAATTGGTTATGGGAGGAAATATAACACATACGAATAAATTTCACACTCTGCAACAACCAAAGAAGCATATTTATTAAACAAAATTCTTTAATCTACCAACCAGTCTTTACTTTGAAATTGAAAAACCAATCTTTTGGCAGGTTGTAAATCTTCAACTTCATGTTTCTTCACAAGATAACAGTGATATATTTGCTTTTTTAAATAACTAAACAGCACGTAGGAAATGGGTTTATGTGGGTTGGTTAATAGCTAAAAACTAAAATCTTTATTTCTGAAAATCTATTTCCATTTCCACCCTTTCCCTCTTTAGGGAGCTCTCATAGTCCATAGGGTTATCACACTACTAACCCAAAGGAAGCAATTCTCTCAAGGTGTGATCCCACCAGTGGCTCTTCAGACAATCATCTCCCACATGAACTACAGCCTCTAAAACCCACTGAATGGTCAGCTATTACAGAGACAGAGGCAAGGTCAGAGGCAGAGAAAGAACTAATTAACAAAGACCTAATATCAAATGTGGGCTCTTTAACTTCCTAGCTGTGATATCTTGGACCAGTCTTTATCCAATTATAAAATGGAAATAACAATCTTTACATAATTTTTTCTAATAGATAAACTAATGGATACATAACATATTCTATCATATTTTACATTAATAAGTCACTTTGAAAATAGATTTATCTTTCCATTCTTGTTCATCAAGACTTTCTCACTTTCAGACATAACAATATAACACATATTTCCTCTTGATGTTTCTTTCAATTACACTTCACATTTCCATTTTCAGCTTGATGCATTTGACTCTTTTTCCACTACACTTTCCTTAAATCTTATTTTCCTAAAACTTTTGAATATTAAAAGGCTGTCTGTCTTTAGACTTTTAAGGCATCTATGTTGACAGTGAAGAGTTAAATCAATACTGAAAATGTAAAAGGACATAGCTTTCAACTTGTCAAGTGATTAATGTATGACATCAATACATGTTGAAGAATCAGTTTGAATGTCATTATTTCTTAGAAGCCTGAAATCAGAAGAAGCTGAGAGGAAAGGATCTATTTCTTAATTTACCTATCAATCTAATGTAATCTGTACCCAGACTCCAACTCTAGTTTACTGAATCAATTTTAATTTTTGTAGTAATGGGTGAAACTCTTTAAGTAAGTTTAAGTAAGTATTCCTGTTACAAGAATTTGGTTAACTGGGGTTTGCTTCATGGTATGTCATAGATACTGAACTAGGAAATTCTGCTTTAGGCAAGAAATGAGTCTGGAGCTGTTGTTTTCAAATTCTCTTCATTCAATTTATAAAGGTCTCTTTAATGAACCATATGTTTAGTTCAGAAAAGAGACAAAGGACAAATGGAGGTTGAAGGAAAGACTTAACACTTCTAAATGTTGTCTGCTTACCCTAAAGCATTACTTTGCTTTTATGTTTTATGTTTTTTTATTTTTATTTTTTAATGTGCAATGTATTTTCTGTTAGAAACATGTAAAGAAATTGCATATATTTAAACAGCATGTATAGATTGTTATCTCTATGCTATCAGAGACAGACATCATGCCTAAAAATTGATAAAAATATAGATACAGATGCACTAAAACTGAATAAAATACAAGATAATTTCTAGATAATTGAATGTGGAAGCATTTTCAGGAGAAAGTCTTTAGGAGATGAGATGAATCTAGCAAATTGTAAGGATATAAGTTAGTAAATAAGAAGAAAAGTTTTCTAAGTAGACCTTCCCAATCTACATTTTAAGCTTTCATTCTAAAGAAACACTGGTGGTATAGATCTTACATGCTTCTAGCTCAAAGGTTGGCACTTAAAACCTGGTTCAATTCAAACTCAACAGGGAAAATAAAACACAAGTGAAAGACTGCATCTATAAAGATTATAACCTTGGAGACTCTCTGGAGCTGTTTTACTCTGTTCAATAGGGTCAGTGTGAGTTTGAATGGTCTTTAGGGCAATGGATTTGGTTTTAAATATTTGCATCCAGACCCTTATAATTTGCCTTTTATTATCTAGTCATCATGTTTGAATGGGGAGGAGTGTAGCAAAAAGACAGAAAAGAATGAATTGACAGTGTTGGAGAGTGATGACACGAATAAGCTGCAATATAAAAAGACAGATGAGATCTCTGTCCTTGGAAAAAAAAAGAAACCTCAGAAGTTGTATAAATCAAAAGTCCTTACTTTTGCAACCATGATTTGATGTCTTATCATTTCGTTCATAAGCATGCTCCCCAGTGTGAGTCCTGAGGTTGCCAGTGAGTGGGGAAGCCTGAACTCTTGCACATTACTCATAATTAGGTTTCTCACCATAAGGGATTTTCTGGTATTTAACAAGATAATAGCTTTGATAACAGATACTTACTACGCTCATAAGAGTTTCTCCTTTCAGTAGAATCAAATGCATAAAGAAGTCTGTTTGAAGTCATTACATTGTGCATTAAAACCCTTTGGGGTTCTTTTTATTATATCTAACGAGACATGGGTTCTTACAGGAAAACAGGAACTTTGCCAAATTCATCACTCTGATAGAATGTCTGGTGGTATAGTGAGTATGGAGTCATGCTGCCATCCCAAAGGTAGCAATTATTAATCCATCAACTATTCCACAAGACAAAGATGGGAACTCTTCTCTCATGTGATTTACAGTCTCTGAAAACCCCACTGTAGGGCTGTGAGTAGATTCCAACTCAATAGCACTGAGTTGTTTTTTTTTTTGTTGACTTTTTAATGTTTGTTTGTTTTGTGTTTTAATTTTTCAGGCTTCCCTGATGTTCATTTAGTAAGATTAAAATAACCTCCAAGTTCCTTTTACTCCCCACATTAGTTGCTGGAGGTGTTTTGGGCATGTTGCCAGCATAAAAGAATTCTTGGAGAAGGACATCATACTCAGAAGGGTGAAGGGACTGAGCAGGAGAGGAAGACCCCAGATGAGATGAATTGACACAGTAACTAGGGCAATGGGGTTAGGGTTAGGGTTAGGGTTAGGGTTAGGGTTAGGAGTCAGTGAGACGAGTTCAAGACAAGTTAGGATTAATAGATTTGTACATAGTGTTGCCATGAGTCACAGGCACCTCGATAGCACATAACAACAATCAGGTCTAAGAAATAACCATTCCCACCTACCTCCTTCATCTGTAAGCTGTCTTGAAAGGAAACACTAGCCTTTAACTCCCCAGCATCCATCCTAGAGAATTTTCCTGGTGTCCTGCTAAGTGATTTCTACTCTTTAGAAACTTCCTTCCTTAAAATCACCTCTGGATCTCATCCTATTTTCATCTGTCAGAGATACTGGGTTGTGCTGCTTTTGTGGCATCATATTCTGATTTAAAGATTCCTGACTCAATGCTAGCCTTTTCTATTTCTAATGAGTGTAGTCTTCATTCCATCCTGCAGAATCCTGAGGCTCGACTATGGGAGAACACTATGTGAGACCACTGCTTACAACCTCCCATGGCCTGGATATCCAGAGGAAACATGATATCTGAAGTGCAAACAGAAATTTAAGATACAAGCATGACTTTTCTGGACAATATAGCTTTGCTCTCTTATCTGACTTTCTGGCTTTGCCATCAGGTACCCTTCCTGCTCCTGTGAAAATAAGATTTAAAGCATTACTTTTGTCTGGTTGATCAAAGGAGAATTTTACTCCAGCTGCAACTGGTCAGATTAAAATGTTGTCACACACCAACAAAGCAACTATTTATAGTGACCCTATAACTAATAGTAATTGATGGTACTTTCCACAATTGGCACATGGCCTGTGTTTGTCTGCAAATGCTGTGTTTCTCCAGGACTATTTATGTAAGTTTAGCCCATCTGATTCTTGTGCAATCCATCAGGTGATGTATGTGTAAAGTCACCATTTGTGAGTTGGGTGTTTGTTTGTTTGTTTTAAAGCTGTTTGCTAGAAATAAATCATTGAGCACATAGAATTTGATTTTTCAATTTCTGACATTATCTTTGTCACTAGTCCATAATTTCTGACTACTATTTCTTCCTTATTATTTCCAACTTATACATTCCAGTCACTGATAATTATAAATTACCAATTAACAGGTACATTTGATTACCCTTATCTGCATGCTTCGTTGATTTTGGACTGCAAAAGTTTGTAGAAAACCCATTCCCAAGAAAGGTGATTTAGTAGAATATGAAAATTATTGAACAATAGCATTTATATCTCATGTAATCAAAATAGACCTGAAAATCATTCAAAACCAGTGAGAATATTGACAGGAAACTATCAGAAGTGCAAGTTGGATGTAGAAGAATCCACAACACCAGGAATATAGTTGCTGTTGTCAGCTGAATACTAGCTGACTGCAGAAAATACCAGAAAAATGGATATTTGTCTTTTGTTGACTATTCAAAAGCATTTGACTATTTGAATTATAACAAATTATGGCTAACATTTTTAAGAATGGGAATCCTAGATAACTTAAATGTGTTCATACGGAATTTATACCTAGATCAAGAAGCTGTTGTTAGAACAGACAAAGGGAACACTGCATGGTTTAAAATCAAGTAGGGTGTACATCAAGGTTGTATCCTTTCCCCATACCTATTCAATTTATAAGCTGAGCAAATAATTCACAAAGCCAGACTCTATGAAGAAGAATGTGGCATCAGGATTGGAGGGAGAATCATCAACATTCTTCATTGTGCAAATGACATGACCTTTCTTGCTGAAAGTAAAGAGGATATAAAATACTTGCTGCAGAAGACTAAGGACTATAATTTTTGTTATGGATTGCATTTTAACATCAAGAAAACAAAGATCCTCACTATAGGACCAACAATAAACATTATGATAGATAGAGGAAGGATTGAAGCTGTCAATGATTTCATCTTGCTTGGGTCAACAATTAACGCCCTTGGTATCAGCAATCAGAAAATCAGGTAATTATTCCATTGGGAAAGTCAACTGTTAGGTATCTCTCCAGAATGCTGAGGCACAATGACATGATTCAGGCCACGATCTTCTCAATTGCCTGCTATTCATTATATATTTATACAATGAATAAAGATAGAAGAATTGATGCCTTTGAGTTGTGGTGCTAGAGAAGAGTGTTGAATATTCCATGGACTTAAAAAAAAAACCAAACAGATATATCTTGGGGAAAGTGTAGCCAAAGTGTTCCTTGGAAGCAAAATGACAAAGCTTTCGTACGTTGGACATGAAGCCAGTCAAGGCTCTTCCTTGGAAAGGGATATCATCCATGGAAAAATGGAGGGCCAGTGAAGGAGAGTAGACCTTCAACAAGATGGATGACATTGTAACTTCAGCAATGAGTTGTAATATGTCAAAGATGTTGAGGATGGCACAGGATAGCACAGCTTTCTAGTCAGCTGTTCGTAGTGTCGCTATGAGTCATACTCGACTTGAAGGCACTTGACAATAACAGCATGGATAATCAATCAAAACTCTGCCCAATCTTGCACCATCCTCACAATTTCCTCTGTGCTTAGCCCTACTGTTAAAATTCACTCTATTAATCCATCTCATTGAACATCTTCTATCTTTCACTTACCCTCTACTTTTTCAAGCATAATGTCCTTTTTCAAGACTTGCCCCTCCTGATAATTTGTCCAAAACATGCAAGGTGGAGTTTCACCATTTTTGCTTTTTTTGGAATTCCCTGTCTTTTTTTGCAAGATTTGTTTGTTCTTTTTGATAATCGATTGTAATTCTCAGAAGTTGTTTTTCAAGCCTGTGTATTTTGAAGTTAGGTTGGGGAAGAATTGTCTAGTCATGTCTGCTCTGTTCATCTGTTCTTTAAGGATGGCTGGTCAGAGAAGTAAAACAAAGAAGCAGCTCTATTGGGGACAGTGGTGGAGTGTCCAGTTAAGCACTGCTAGGTGCTGTTTACTATAAAAGAACATGAGTTTTGACTAGTGATGCGCTGACACATTTTCGAGATCACTGTGTGTCTACCAGTGGGAGCCATTCTTCAGTGTCAGTCCTGATTGTTCATGCCCCCATAGCCTTTATAAAGCAAAGATCACATGCATTTTTAATAGAAACAAAAAAGGGGGACATGAATACTGCTCTACTTCTTAAATAAAACCAAATATAACTTTGGACTCAGTGGACCCAGTTAGTTTTCAATTAAAGAACAATAAAATATTGAGTTTTCCTATATCTTCAGCACAAATCAAAGAAAAAGAACTCTCGTGGTCTACTGGGAAAGAGTAGAACTGACAACTGAAGCATGCAGTTCAAATCCACCAGCAACTCCACAGATAAAAGATTGGCGATCAGCTTCCATGTGATTTACAGCCTTGGAAAATCCACTAGAGGGCCAACTATATCAATTCTAACTTAATGACACCTAATAACAACAACAGCAATGAATATTGTCAATAATTAGAGAGTGAAACAATTAGGAATAATTACTATTTCGCTTTCAGTTCAGGTAGATATAATTGATTTATATAATTTGATATCTTAATTTGCTATTTTTCAAAAATATGTTTATAAATCTTATTAGGAAAAAAATGTCCAGGGTATCTTTGTAGTGGCAAGGTTAGAACAGTTTTATCTTAAAGACAACAAAGAATACCAAGCTTTATAAAAATACTTTTCCTTCAGAATAACAATGATATAATTTTTCTCAAGACTAATTTGTCTCATAAGCTATTTTGTAACTTTTCAGTCAAGTAACACTTATTGTACCCCCATGATAATTAGATTCTTCACTTTTACATCTAATTTATTAATTTTTTTGTCAGTGTTTTGGGAAGCAAGACATTCTAATTTATCAGAAGCAAAGGAGGGAAAAAATGTTTTACGTCAAAAAGTGTGAAGAATTACTAGTTTCAAAGTTAAATGGTTGACTGAAGGATTACCAAGCTTTAAAAAAAAATAATTTTTTTGGTCTGACAACACTGCGAAGGAGTTTCTTAGCTTGAGAAAAATCACAAAAACATATTATGTGGTTCACTAACAAATGGACATCAATGAATTTTAAATTGAATGAAAACTGAGATGTTATAACTAATGATGTATTAGTGTACCAGGCATGCTTATAGAAATGGTCTAAATAAGCATGAAATTAAATCCAGCCTGCCATGAGAGATCCAAAGAAAACATTTTTAATTAGTTGAAAAAGCAAACTCAGTGAGATGTTATTTACTTTTTCTATCCTCACACTGAGCTTATGAATATTTGTTTCTAAACTAAAATAAATAAATGAATGAATGAGACCAATGTGACCTCAACTGGTCATAGTGTATCAAATGGAGCATAAGTAGTTGGAAGGGATTAAAATTTTTCCATGATATGTGAATAACAATTAATATATGTTTTTGCCACTTCAAAATACAGTGAATTAAGTAATACAATGGGAAAATACTCAAGCTGCCTATTGAATAAGTGAACTTACACCCCGATCAATTCCTTTTATGCAAAGGGCAGGGTTCAGAGGAAGGTAGCAAATACCAGTATTTATATGCTGAAAGAATTCCTCAAGTCTTTCAATTTCTTTGTTCAGCACCTCCTGTAAAAAAATCATTAGAAAAGTATTTGAGAAACTGTAAACAGTGTGATTTTTCTTTCAAGTTATAATTATCTTCTTATTGGTTTAATAAACTCTTTTATTCAAGGGTTACACCCTTACAAGACTCTGGGATCAAGAAGGTGAGATATGCAGGCATGAGAGGACAGCAGGCTAAAGACAACAGGGAACATAGGAAAATGGGGACTAGGGAGTGCACATTCTTTCTAAAGGCTCCTGAATTAAAAAACAAACAAACAAACAAAAATAGAACACTATCAGCAGCAGACAAAATAGGGTGGAATAGATTTGACAATAGTCCACCAGTCTTAAATTCTTATTAACAAATTTCATCTCTGATAATTTCTAATAAAATTTTAATTTGAAACTCCAAACATTTACTCTTTTTTTTGTATCACACATTTTATTTATCCATTCATCATTTAATAGACAGTTATGGTTGGTTTAATTTTTTTTTATTTTGATGTGGGTTTGATGAAAAAGATTTTATACATTATGTTTCTCATGATTCTTCATTCATACTGTTTCATACCATCATTTCCATAAATTGTGCTTTGTAAAATTAACCACCATTGGACCTTGTCCATCATTACTCTTAATACCGACAGCACAATTTAGAAAAAAAATGTGCATACATTTTTCCTTTAAAATCTAGTTAGATTTGAACGGTGTGTGTCTACTTAAACAGGGATTTATTTTCCTGCTGTTACTGAGAAAGCTTAAGTACTACAAGTATCCACTATAAACACTGGGCAATGCCAAGCTTATGTAGTTCTTTCAAACCCATGTTGTTAAGAGTCATCTGTATATTAGGAACAGTAACAGTGAAAACTTGCATAATTCTTAACTGTAATATCAGTGACATTTTCTAGATCCCACTGAGTATATCTCTGACCCCCGAAGCCCTCACTTTATCACTTCTCAGTATCTGTGGGAGGTCAAAAACCATAACCAATATCATCAAAAACAAGGTGGGGGACAATAACAGTCATCCATCATAAAACAAAAAGCTTTACTAACTCATGTCTGAAAACTATTTCTAGTTCAGTTCTGAAGATTAAGCTATCATATTATTAATGTTTAATTAACTTTGAGATATTCTTTGCTTTTACTTTTGGATCATTGCCAAAGAATAGAATCCACTATTCTTAGATCAGGGAGCTCTGATGGTAAGGACTTGAGCTGTCAATCCAAATTAAGTAAGTGGTTCAAACACATCAGCTGCTCAATGGGATAAAGATGTGAAAGCTCCTTCCATGTAATTTATAGCTTTGGAAAATCCACTGGAGAATCAGCCTTGATTGGTTACCATGATTATAGGGCACACAATAACAACTACTAGAATACATGAGAAGAACAAAGTGCTAGAATGAGACAAAGTTCTGCCAATGGGTTCTTTCTGTCTGTCCTTCTGAGTTGCCTGTTGAACACCTTGGAGATGAGTCTCTGCTGCTTTTGTTTATCAAAACTCTCTTCTCCAAATATTCCCAATCGCACTTCAACAACAACAATAATAACAATAAAACCCCAAACCTATCACTACTGTAGAAATGATTCAAATTATATCAACTTTAAGTAACAAGGCATAATTCCTTGTTCAGGTTTCCAAGGCAATAAATCTGTATAGAAGCAGATTACTACATCTTTCTCAACAGCAGCTGATAGACTATAACTTTCAACTTTTCAGTGAGAAGCCTGATGATTACCAAACTGTGTCACCAGGACTTACACCGCACAAAAAGCTAAAACCTCTGTTGTCAATTTGGGTTGCATGGAGTTTATCTTTCATTATAACTTTTCCTAACCATGATTTGGTTTTGCTATCTATACAGGCAGTAATATGGGAATAGAGCATGTTAGCTTATTTACAAGGGGACTGGCTAGTCTTGCCATTAAATTGAGCAAACCAGCAAGAGAGGCTGACAGATGTTCTGGCACCATTGAAGTGAAAAAAAGACAAAGTTGGACACCTTTGCTGCACTAGCTACACCTATGACAACAACTATGGCTGAACTGGAGACCGGACTTGAAATGTGATTTTGAGAGAGGAGAGTCAGTATTGACAAGACTGAGAACTTTGTTAGGCAACTAGGAGTGGGAAACCAATATTGGCAGGACTAAGAACTTGGGAACCACTGGACTGAAGGTGCATGTGTGTGGTCTGTGAGCTATAGCATGGGATTTTGGAGCCAGCAAAGCCATATTATTGGTTTTGCAATGAATACAAAGAAGTGTGAGAAAATGGGATATATTTGGCCTCATGGGAATTGGTTTGGTGTTATTGATGCTGTGGACAGGGACAATTCCCCTTTGTGAAGTTGATAAAGATCATATGGCTGTCTCCATGTGGCTCTTGCTCTTTTTACAGGTTGAATGCATAGTTGTTCTCTTTTGAATTTCCAAAGTTATAAATTTTTGCAGGAGGAGACTTTGTCCTGTAGAACAGCTAGTGGATTTGAGTTGTTAAGATATTAGTTAGTAACACATGCTTTTTTAAAAACATAAAAGAACCAGAGACCAGTAACTTACTATAACAGAAAGCAATTAAGGTGAAAGAACTTTATTTGTATGAATGATATCAGTATTGCTCTGGAACCCCATGCGAATGGACAAAAGGGCACATCATGTATTTAACCCTACAGTAGGGCTCTGGAGTTAAAAGTAGTAAAGAGTTGCATTGCCAACCAAAAGACACACATTTTAAATCCACCAGCTGCTCCTCAGGAGAAAAATGGACAGTCTTTTCCCCTGGAAGATTTACTGCCTCTGAAAACCTGCTGAAGGGTCAGCTATGGATTGCTTCTAACTCTATGGTTAGAACATAATGAAAGAGTGCATCTTAAATACATGAGAGTTTAAAGCATGAGATTAATGTCATATTTGTCCATAACCTTTGTAACTTTAAAGACCACTTTATTTTACTATCAACTTTTTGTTGACCACTGTTGTTGGTGTTATGTGCTGTGGAATTGGAACAAATTCATACCGACATGATTTGGGGATTGCAGCACAGCTTCTTAACCCTAGACCACCCCAGAGCTTTTTTCCGTATTTTTTTAAAATTTTTTTTTCTACTACTAGAAAAAAATTAATATGTTTTCAATAGTATAGGGACATCATAGAATTTTGTTTGCATTTCTCAACATGTTATGCATCTAAGGGCCCTTGTTTTAACCATGTGTTTATGTTTCTAGTTTAAAAAGAAACCTTATGATTATTAATTTTGCTTTTAATTTTTCCCTAGATGAGTAAAATACTGGAGTTTTGGTCATTTCTACTAAATGGAATTACTTCCAGCCAAATATATCTTGAACTGGGAAAGAATTCTTGGATGTTTTACCTATCAATATTTTATAACGTTTTCTTGAAAAAGAGTGAAAAGGAATCATGACCTTCCTAAGGACAAGCTTCATCTGTTAGACATCTTCCTACCCTTAACTTCTAGAATATAGTAAGTACTCAAAAGCTCTAGAATAATATTCTAATAAATGGATGCCCACTCTTTCTCTCTCCATCTAAACCCATATTTAAGAGAAACTATTTAATGATCAGTGAAAGGAACTTCTGATGCAGATAATTAAAAAGAGCAAATTTTCTTTCATTAAAGCCAGGAAAAGAATATCCAGGTCCATTATTATAATCAGTGAAGAAAGAGATAATATTTTGACTATCAACCATAGGGTTTAGTATAAAGAGTGTTATAATTCATGCTCACACTGGCTTCATTTCATTCACTTAGTTTGTTTTGACAAATAGTATCTTTTTCAAGACATTACCTTTGTTTAGTAAATGTTAGGTTACCTAGATATTAATTTTTTTTTTTTTTACTTTGGACAAAGTTTACTTCACTAGGTTTTTTAAATCAACTGCCTTTAAATTTGTCCTTTTTGTCAAGTTCCTTTAAATTGAAAAAAGAAACACCATGTCCTAGTGATAGACTACCACTAACTTTATATTTTTCTTTCTCACTTTTACTGCGTATGAGTCAGATCATAGGTGAACCTCTAGTGCATTTTCAGAGACCATAAACTGTGTAGGAGGATATTGCCCATCTTTACCCTTCAGAGCAGCTAGTGGATTTAAACTGCCTGCCTTTGGGTTGGCAGTATAGCTCTTTATATTCTTTTATGGTTGTTGTTAAGTGTCATCAAGTTGGAACTGACCCATAGTGGACCCTCCAGCAGGATTTTAGAGGCAGTAATAATGATTAAGGTAATTTATTTAAATGTCTTAAAAATAGGTTAGTCTATAAATTTACTAAATTATTACATTAAAATGTAATTGAACTAAAGATTTAAAAAAATAAAGCATCTTCACAACATGAAGATCAATTTTTCAACAAACCTGTCTTTGAAGGTCACTGGCTGACTTGACTTTTTCTGCAATATTTCCCAAAATTTTTATAAGTTTGCTTTCCTTGGAAAACTCGTCATTCAAGGCTTTTCCTACACAAAATTGGAGAGCAGCCAGCAGCTTCTGGTACCAGTTTTTAAAGTAAGTTTCATTCTGTGCATCCTTTAGCAGCCTGAGGAAAGAAAAAAGAATAATTTTGTATTGAAAAGTGATTTTTTTTTTCAAACCACTTCCATCAGGAACAATCAGTGCATTTTAGACTAATCTGTGGTTTTGGGCAGGTTAGCAGTCTAATGTAGAGAAAAGGGTTGTTTATTTCTTGGCAGTCATCAAGTTTCATCTGATAGCTAATGAGATTCCAATAAGTAAAGGATCGTCAGAAGCCTGCCTTTTCTAATTTCAATTCACAAAGCATTATTTTCTTCTTCTTCCACGATTCTTAATCTTAAGAACACATTTTTGAGTTCTTATTAAAGTATGGACAAAAAACTTTAGAAATTCTCTTAATCAGTGAATATACCATGTTGTTGTTGTTAAGTGCCTTCAACTCGAGTATGAGTCAAAAAGCTCCTATAAGCAAAAGGTCTGAAACCTGTTCTATATACTAAGGATTAACCATTCACTTTAGCTTTTTCTTTGTTTTCTTCAAAAGTATTGTTCCCACACTTCTACATAACTATGCATTGATTTATCTCCTGGCAACTTTCTGTGATAAGTGGAAGGAAGATATTCTAGAAGCCAAAAGCTTACTTTTGTTATTTTTAGTTTTTTGTTAGTTTCTTTTTCTCTTGACATTTCTTTTTTTTTTTTAATTTTCTACTAGTTTATTCACAAAATTCGAATATATTTTCAAGACCAAATTCTTTACATTTCCCTCACCCGCCCAACCATCAACTTGTACAACCCCTGCACATCCACATCCCTGTGCTTCCAACCTCTTCCACCTCTGTTGGATCCTTATATTCATTCTACAATAATGGTTTTATACAATATTTATCCTTGGGGACTGAGTTAGTTCACTCAGCATAATCTTCTCCATTCTCTCCAAAGTTAGGTAATTATTTACAAAATCATTGTTCCTGCATGCTGCATAGTATTCCATTGTGTGAATGTACCTCTCAGTCCATTCATCTAGACATTTGGGCTGTTCCCATGTTCTTGCGATGGTGAGTAATGTTTATTAGACATTTCTAAACTCAAATTGAAGGTTTTGGGGTGTTTTATTTTTCTATTTTATGCTGGTTTATTTACAAAGTTTGAAAACATTGTTTTTCTTTTTTTAAAAAAAACATTGTTTTTCACACAAGATTTTTCCCATATCCTTCATCATCACCCCCGTCAAATTGTGCAACACTATGATAATCCTTCCATCCTTACTGCTCTGCCTCTACCCTCCCCCCCCCACCGCCCGATCCTCATACTCATTCTACAATGATGACTTTATACAATATTTGTCCTTATGGAACCGAGTTAGTTCATTCAGCATAATGCTCTCCAGTCCCTCCCAAGTTAGGTGTAATTTACAAAATCATTGCTTCTGCATGCTGTGTAGTATTCCATTTTGTGAATGTACCATTCACAATTTCTCAATCCATTCGATTGTGGTTGGACATCTGGTATGTTTCCATGTATTTGCAATAGTGAAGAATGTTTCTATGAAGAGTTCTGTACAAGTTTCCACTTGTGCCTCAGTACTCATTTTCTCAGGATATATATATTTGAAGTAGTGCGATAGCTGGGTTATATGGAATTTCTATGTTAAGCTTTTTGAGGAAGCTCCAAACTGCCTTCCAGAATGGTTGCAACATTTTACAATCCCACCGACAATGTCTAAGAGTTCCTATCTCAGCACACCCTCTTCAGTATCTATTATTTGCTGTTCTGTGACATATTGCCACTGCTACTGGAACGAGATGGTATGTCATTGTGGTTTTGATTTGAATCTCTCTTACTACAGTGATTTTTAGCATTTCTTTATGTGTCTGTTGGCCATTTGAATATCTTCCTCTGTGAAAAGTCTGTCCATGTCTTTTGCCCATTTTGTAATTAGATTATAAGTCTTTTTCTTCTGGAAGTCCAGGAGTATTCTGTAAACTTTCATTATGAGACTCTTGTTTGAGATGGTATTACCAAATGTTTTTTCCCAGGTTTCCTTATCACCTTGTTGGAAAAAAGATTTTGGTGCACACCAGGATTTAATCTTTAGAAGGTCCAATTCGTCAATTTTATCCTCTGCAGATTGTACATTTCTGGCTGTATTTAGCAGTCTCTTCAAACTATAGACTAGGCCGTCAAAGGTTGATCATAGTTTATCTCTTATGAACTTTATGGTTACATTGAAGTTTTCTTCTTTGTCTATAAGATAAATTAATAACTTTGACAGAGTTCTATACAGTACAGAATAGGGTAATGAATTTTAAAGTATACATACAAGGCAGTCAGAAACCATGAGTTCACCCTGTATGCCTGCTTATGCCACATACAAGGAGATGAGCATAAAGGAGTAAGAGAGTGCAACAGAAATATTTTATTGCGTTCTCTGTCATGTGATAAGTTTTCTATTGCCTTGAAATATTTCAATAGGCTAAAACTTTACTTCCCATTGTTGTGCACTGTAGACTTGGAATTGACTCATATCTGACCCTCTTGTGGGTTTTCAGAGGCAGTTAATTAATCACACTGAAGGAAATTGCTGATCCTTTTCCTGATGGCCTTGAACCCCGTGCCTTAGAGATTGCAGTACAGCCACTAGGCCACCTGCCCTAAAACTGAAATGAAAAAAAAGGCTAATTTCTGGAAATCTTAATCTGGTTCATTGTTTGTTGTTGGGTTTTTGGTGTTGGGTTTTTTTTTTTTCATTTTATTTTACACTGGTTTATTTACAAACTCCTTGTACAATTGTTTTCCACACCAGACCTTCCCCCTTTCCTTTCCCCACTCCTAACTCCACCCATCAAATTGTGCAACCCTTTGATTAAGCCCTCATCACCTGTCCTCACTCCTCTGCACCTAACCTATTTCTTATTTTAAAATATTACCTAATCCCTAGTCTTTTACTCTTCTGAAAAAGCACTAAGCGTTCTAAAAGCTAGAATAAGATTATTATGAGAACATAGAAAGCTTAATCATGCATTTCTTTCAGATAGTCTTTATTTCATCTGTTCCAGTGCAGTGTCCATTATTTATCCACTCTTTACTTATTCTCCTCCATGTCAATCCTATTTTATAACATTATTCTTATGCAATGTCTGTCCTCTTGTGACTAAGGTATTTTACTCAGAAAAATATCTTCCAGACTCATCTATGTTGTGTATTGCTTTAGAAGTTCATTGTTTTCCAATGCTGTGTAGGCTTTGATTGTGTGAGTGTACCATATTTATTTTATTTATTCCGATATTGAGAGGCAGTTGGGCTGTTTCTCTCTCTTCACTATTGTAAATACTGATGCAATAAACATAGGTGTGTTTTCCAAAACTGTTATTCTGAGGACAGATATGAAATGAATACACTGAATATTTATTTTGAGGTTCTAACAAAATATAAAGGCCTCTGGTAACATGTTTGTACACTGTTACTCCAGAGGCTTCACACCTCTGAGAGTTCAAACTCACAAGTGGCTCCATTTGATAAATATGAGTAATCATTTCCTGTGCAATTTACAGCTTCAGAAAACCAATGAAAAGTCAGGTATGGATCAGTTCTGATTTGACAACATTGAGTCAGGAAGCAAAGAAGTGAGTGAAGAAAATGCAAAAGGGAAATTTTGCAGCCTATTTTGTAGAGAGTTGTGTTGCTAATACGCTTCTCTAGTGGTTCAAACCGCCAGAAGAAGAGGAACCATCTTCTCTCAGGTGATTTACAGGCGGGGACAACTTATGGAGGGTTCAATATGGGTCAGTTCTGACTTGACAGCCATGGCCTTTGAGTTTTAAAAGAAAACACAAATGATTTGTCTTTCAACTGGAATACAATAAATATAAGCCTGTTATTGTTGCGACTCATAGTGACACTATGTACAAGAGCCCTAAAACCTGCTCTATTCTGTGCCATCTTCATTGTCTCCAACACACCTTACTCCCACTACCCAAATCACTGAATCAATCCATCTCATTGAGGGTCTTCCTCTCCTGCGCTGTCCCTCCACTCTCCCAAAAGTGATTTCCCTCTCCAAGGACTGGTCCCTCCTTACAACATGCCCAAAGTATGTCAGACGAAGTTTCAGAATCCTTGACTACAAGGAGCATTCTGGCTTCACCCTCTCCAGGACAAACCTGTTTGTTCTCCTAGCAGTCCATGGTATATTCAACACTCTTTTCCAGCACCACAGCTCAAAGGCATCGATTCTCGTTCTACCACTCCTAGTCACTGTCTAGCTCTCTGATGGCATAGCCTACACATGTAAAAGCCTACACATGTAAAATTCAAGATATTATTACTTAACACTGTATATGTCTCTCAAATTTTGACAATATCTTGCAAACTTTTTCAATATACTATTTTATTATACTCTGTTTGGCTATTTTTTTTAAAACAACAAACTATTAAACAATATCACTAATAGTACACACTAGCAAAATACTGCTGAAGATTATCCAGAAATGGCTGGAGCAGAATGTAGACAGAGAACTACCAGAAATACAAGTTGGATTTAGAAGAGGTCATGGTACTAAAGATATTATTGCCAATGTCAGATGGATCTTGGCAGAAAGCCAAAAGTACAAGAATGTCTGTAGTTCATTAAATATGCAAATTTGACTGTGTAGATCACAACAAATTGTGGCTAACCTTGAGGAAAATGGGAATCCCAGTACACTTTATTGTGCTTAAGTAAAACCTATATTTGGGACAGGAATTAGTCCTCAGAACAGAGTAGGGGAACACTGCATGGCTCAAAACCAGGAAAGAATTGTGTCAGGAGTGCATCTTGTGTCCATACCTTTTCAATCTATATGCAGAACAGATAATTCAGGAAGCAAGGCTTTATGAGGAGAAATGTGGCATCAAGATTGGAGGAAGACTCTTCAACAATCTAAGTTATGCAGATGATATAACCTTGCTTGCTGAAACTGAAACATTTGCTTTAGAAGGTCAAGAACTGTAGTCTTCAATATGGATTGAAGCCTAACTTCAAGAAGACAAAGATTCTCACCACTGGGCCAACTGGCAGCATCA